CAAAGCACCAAGTTCCACGAAACCACCAAGTTACAAGAGAGAAGATTGAAGACAACACGAGAGCGCTTCGGTGGTGGAGGATTTGCCGACGCACGCGGCTTCGGGGCCGGTGCTTCAGGTGCCTCCTCGGCCTCTAGGGCGTATGTTGGTGCTCGCCGCCAAGGGGCGGTTGCTCGAGGTTTGGCCGCTGGGCGAGGTGGACTTTCTTCGTCGTCCACGTCCATGGCGTGTACCTCAGTGTTTGGGTGCACCAATAGCTCTGGATGTGGCACCCGCCGGGTTCCCTCGTTGGGCGGGTTCGCCATACGTGGTCAGGCAAGTCGTAGACAGAGTCACGAGCTGTGTCCATCGGAATGGGCTGCGCCGGCGGCTCGCGGGCAGCGTGTTGGAGTCTGACGAATCCGCGCTGACGCGGTTGCGGTGCCTCCCTCGGCTGATTAGGCTCCGGACGCGGAGCGTCGGCTGCAGGAGGCTGCGCGGACACGGGTAGACTCCGATTGCTTGCCTTCGGTGGAGGTGGCCTTCGAACCTTCACGTGAGGTGGTAAGGTCTGTGGCCTATGAGGAATATTCGGATACTCGGGGTCTAACGGTGGTGGATCAGGGGGAGTTGCACGTCCTAGTCGACCGGACCTTACGGCTCGGGTTATCGTGTTAGCGGCACGGGTGCGAACTGCCTCGAGATCTTCACCTTCGACTTCGACCACGGGATCTGGCTCGAAAGCTTCCTCTTCCTCCCGCGCAAGCGCGGTTCCGCCTCGTCCGTCCTGTCGGACTGTGCCCTCCTCCTCCGCTCCTTCTGGGTATCCTGGATCTATTTCAGCCTCTGGAGCGGGTGCTCCCTCCTCGGTTCCAACACCATCCATAGGATCATCTGCCTGTTCGGTGTCGTCGGCAAGATGGACCGTGCGGGTCGGCTGCTCCGTGTCCGCGAGAAGCTCAGCGGTTTCACGATTAGGCCTGGGGCACGGCCTGGTTGGTCGAGGAGGTCGAACTGGCACTGAGGTCCGGGTCTGAGACCTAGATCTTGGAGTTCCTTGGGGAGTTTGGGATCGGGGTTGCACAGGGTGGTCGACAGGTCTCAACTGCGGTCTCCAACCTCCTGACTGACTGGCAGCGCTTGCGCCCACTACGGGCTGAAAGGTGCGCGCCGGGACGGTCACGGGGAAGGTTTGCTGGGCAGCCGGAGCTGCCTGCGATGAGGTCGCCGTCGAGGAGTGGACCTGGCGGAGCGGGATGAATTTGCATGTCTTTTGGTAATACCCAGGCGGAAAACGGTATGTAGGTTGCTTCACACCGTTTGAGATGTCCGGCATGTGACGAGTACACCATGACCAGAATTCTGGTATGATGGCCGCCCAGGCTTTGAGTGCCCCGTCGGAAATGTCTCCGTCTTCAGGGGACTCGGCCCATGCATCAGCATGGAACACCACATACTTATACCATTCGGAGTAGTCTCTCCGCGCAATCAGCGGTTTCACGAATGGTAGATGATGTGTTTTACGAACCCGACGGTAGGTATGCGACGCCAGGTGACTTGCAATAAGATCACATGTGAGAGCGTACTTCTTGTCGGACTGTTCGAACTGGTGTTTTTGGCCTCCCCTCGCGCCGCGCGTACGCTTCGGCTGAGGATCCACGGCTGCGGAAGTTGTTTGTGATGTCTCCGCGCCAGGCGCGGTTTCGTCGTCAGCCTCTTCCCCTTCCTGCTGCTCTTCTTTGGGAGCGGGCTCCGCCTGATCATCAGGGTCGTCGCCTGGCTCTTCGTCTCCAAAGTCAACCTCAGTCTCGTCAAAGACCGGATCGGTGGCCAATGATTCGAACTGCGTTGGATGATTATGAGTATGCAGTGGAGGTAGGCCTACAGGGGAGGTTGAGGGATCGGCATAAACTTCTTCCTCTACTTCCTCCTTGGCTGTGGGCTCTATCTTAGGTGGGCCGAACAACGAAAAGACATCGAAGGACGGCTCGTCGGCGTTAGCTGGGCCTATCGTGCCGTCTTGAGCTGGCGAGACCTCTCCGCGCGAAGCAGCGGTTCCGGTCTGGAGCTCTGCTTCGACAAGAGGGGCTTCGTCGTCAAGAGAACCAAGTGTGCTGGTCTCTGGAGGCAACTCGATGGTGGTCGGCTCTGCGACAGGCTCTTCTCGTTGAGGGTTATCGACCTCCTCCGCCTCGGCGGTTTCTGAACCCTGAGGCGTGAATGTCGGTTGGGAGGACGAAATGCCTGAAGCGACACGGGGAGTAAGGGGTGGTTGCACGGCCTCCCCAAACTCTTGGTCCGTGGTCTCCGCGCTAGGCGCGGTTCCGACCACACCCTCAGGGGAAGCGGATGCTTCTTGATCCTGAGGGTCCCCAGCAGGCGCCGTGGCTGGTGCTGCAGCCGATGAAGAGGCAGCGGCGCCGGTTGCTTGCGGCTGGGGGTTGACCCGACCCATTGGTGTCCTATGCAGGTGCGAAAAGCGTGCTGCAACGGACCACTGGATGGGGTCGAGTGATGATGCCTGTAGCTCACGGCTACGGCTGATAACCAATTGAGTGTACAAACCAGGTGGGGCGTAGGGAAACGCCCAAGCAATTCTTTCAACCGGGAGGTGGTAAAAGAAGTAGGCTAGATCCCTGGATGCACGATCTATATTAATGGGTGTACGAGGAGCGTCGGAAGGACGGGACCCCGTGATGGCAAGTGGAACCGAACGAACGACGTACGGCGACGAGCGAACGAACGGTAGGCACGAAAGGATGCAAAGCGAAAGCGAAAGGGAAGTCGGCCACCGGCCAACGAACCCGGCACCCTGAAGGAAAACTGCGCGGGCGCACAATTTTCCTTGAGCCATGAGCCACGGTCGGCACATGTATTGTACATGTGGTGTGTGAACCGTAGCTACTAGTAGACATGTAGTGAATGCTGTTACATACTAGGGGTTCACAGAAAATGACTCTATTACATACTATTACTAGTTTAACTCTGGGCCAGCAAGTGATTGGAACTCCTTCGATCCAAGCGTTCGGAGTTGCAGCCCAGTTCTAACAGGACTGAGCTCTGCGCTGGATAGCTTCTGCCTTAACCAAACGCCTGAGCCAAAAACATATGGGATCCAATTTTTGTGTGCATACATGAGGGTCACCATAGACCTTGTCCAATTCAACCTGCCTTCGAACATACAGGTAGCAGTTGCAGGAGTAACAGCAGGATCCCCTTCTTCATCCTTCAAGTGTTTCTGAGAATGAGAGGCAGTCGCAATATGATTTGTAAAAATCCCAGCTCTTTTGGGGTGCTGTCATCCTCCTGCCAAAGGACCTCACCTGAGGAGCACATGTCATGTTGTTTGCCTGGCTCAGTTCACATTTTTGCCTTCCGCGGCAGGACCAGCGTCCACAACTCACTCTGGTGACTCTAGTGTAGGGCATACGCGACGCAAGGCCCTTCTTCCTTGCAGAAAAACCGCGAAAAGGCTTAAGATGATGTGGAGGACACAAGAGAGGACCTTGAAGGCTGATGAGGGAACTCATCAGCCTCTGCCGCGCTGACATGTCCCAAGAACACACAAAGAGGCTTCCCGCAACTCATCCTGAAGGGCACCTTAGGCAACGGCATCAGCTTCTCATAGAGTTCATCGGTGGCAAACATGAAGGAGAGAATGCGGGTCAAATAGGCGTGGCATGGTTCAATATGTCCTGGCTTAAGCAGGCTGAGGATTGCGTGCCCATTGTCGCACACCGGCCCATACCAATGAACACATGAGTCCTCGTCTCCAAGAATCAAGTCGTCATTTCTGTCAGTCAACCTGGCCAGTTGTCCCAAGACCTCTTCGCACTTCTCCACTGATTCAAAGTAGCTGCGGGCACGTGGATGCACGAAGACCATCCAAGACTTGATCTTCTCTTGGACTTCCTGTTCACTTCGCTTTTGCAACGGTGGTGGAGGCGGCAGGTCTGCCTTCGAGACCTGTTCTGGCGCAGTGTCCTTCGTTGGGACGCGCTCTTGTCTGCGCTGAAGACAATACCAGCAGCTGAAGCAGCCATCCATCGAGGGGAGCACAGATGGAAGGTTTAAAACCACGGGCTATCTCAGCCAGAACGGCTACAACTTCCTTTATTTATTACTGTTGAGCAAAAACAGACTAGTATATGTTTGCAAATTTGATACTAAGAACATGGGGGGTCCACATATGCAGTATAATAGCATATATGATATGCATATATAAGGCATAAACGCTAAAGCCCAGGCCCGGAAAAGACCGCAAGTTGCCAATTCTCAGGGAGAGGAGTTGTGAAGACGTTGTCCTGCAAAAAGCCATGCATTGCATCTTTTCTGTGACGCTTTGCTCTGGTGAGATTTCTCTTGCGAGACATTCCTCTTGTGATCTTCTTCTTGCGAGAGCTTCCTGGCTGAAACTTCCTCGTGAGACAGATTTTCCGACCTTGCTTGAGACCTCTTCTTGTAACATCCTACTGGCGACCTTTTGTTGTGAGACCCTGTACTTGTGAGACCTTGCGTCTAGAGTCTAAGTTCCTGCACCGCGGGTTTGCTTTACAAAGTCTGTGGCCTGTTTATGGCAGCATCTTTAACAGGTACAGTTGCCAAACCAAATCAAAGCGCCACAAAGGGAACGAGGTGCCAGCTTGGGGCAAGGAAATTGCAAATCCAAGAAGGGGCTGTAAAAAGATTGAACATTGCAGGAACCCCGCGAAAACACACGCTTTTCTCATATTGGGGACCTTTCTTGTCCTGGTCTTGGGGACCTTCCTCTCAACACATCACTTTTGAAGCCGGCCTTGTGACACCTTCTTTGGTGAGAGGATTCTTGGGACCTTTCTTGCGAGACGCCATCCACAAGGGCGATTCTTTCATGTTTGGGACAGGCGAGATCTTCTTGTGAGCTTCCTTTTGGGCCTTCCGGGTGGCAGCTTCCTGGTGTGACCTTTTCTCTTGACCCTTCTTATTGAGACCTTCATCCAGCGATCTTTTCTTGCAAAACCTGTCTTGCGATACTCTCCTAGCACGGCAAACCTTCCAGGAAGCATCGGCCCATTGTTGCAGCAATGGAGAACCTTACAACGTCAATTTTAGCGTCAATGTGTGCGGCAAAGGATTGATAGCAGTGCCAACAAGTGTGCTTGCAAAATGAATTTCAAGTGTTGAACATACGCGGGCATTGGCCCCTAAGCATTTTACATTAATGCTTGAAAACTCAACAATCAGTCCGTCAAGGAAACCGGTCCCCAAGATGTTCGTCAAATATGACAATAGTACTCATGCTTGTTGAGGCAACCTTTTTCGTGAGTTCCCGATTTCGTTGGGTGAGCTGGGTAGTTTCACCTGATGCAGCAAGCCCCCCACTGGGGCCCACTGCTCGTCACAGAAATTCCCCCCTAATTCGGCTCTACTTGGGCAAATCAAAGTTCAGGGCACAACGAACACAGGAGGTTCTAACCTCCGTCATGTTGTTTGCGCCGGTGCTTCTGCCATCCATACGCCTACTGGCTCACTTCCACAACTCTTGACTCTTGTGCATGCGCAAACTTTATTTCGCATGTTCTTCTTTGCAACAAAAAACTGTCAAAAGGTTCAAGACGATGTGGAGGACGCAGCAGAGGAGCTTGGAGACTGAGGAGCATTCTCAGGGAATCCATCAGCCTCTGCCGCGGTGATATGTCCCAAGAACACGCAAAGAGGCTTCCCGCAACTCATCTTCAAAGGTACCTTACGGCGAGGGACCTTGGGCAGCGCCTGAATACAGGAGTAGAGTTCGTCATGTGCGAAGATGAAGGTGAGAATGCGGTTCAAGTAGGTCTTCCTTGCTTCGCTCTCTCCTGGCGGCCTCACAAGTAAAACTGCCTGCCCATCTTCACTTGGCCCATACCACTGAACACACTTGTCAGGTCCTTGGATACAATCATCAGCTCGGTCAGTGAACTTAGCAACTTGCACCAAAATCTCTTCCCACTGGTACGGAAATGTGAAGAATTCCGGAGCACGGGGGTGCACCAAATTCATCCAAGAGGTGACCTTCTCTTTGATTTCCTGTTCACTTCGGTTTTGGATAGGTGGTGGTGGGTTTGCCGCCGTCAAGACCTGTTCTGGCGCAGTTTCCCCGGTTGGGGCGCGCTGCTGCCCGTGCTGAAGGCAATACCAGCAACTGAAACAGCCATCCATCGAGGGAAGCACAGATCGAAGGTTAAACAAACCACAGGCTACTGTATCTCAGCCAGAACGGCTACAACTTCCAGTCTGGGAGGGCTATCAGCGCAACCATCTCATCTCGAAATAGCCCACGTTATCGGCATCGGCGGTAACAAGTGACCGTCTACCACCCTCAGCGGGTAGAGATCAGCAAGAATCGAAGTCGCATCCTCCGTCTAAGCCGTTGGCAAAAGGTGAATGCAAAGGTTGTAGACCTGGCAGCTTCTTACATGGACGCAAATGGCTCCAAGTTCATTGTTGTTAGTACACTTTCAGGCCAGGGCACAGACAATACACCCAAATCTGCACTGGAGTGGATTCTCGCACCGAAAGCTACATCGAGGCTTCAATTCTCATGCCTGCCTTTCCCAACCGGAGAAAGATAGCTGATTGCTTCCTGGTGCCCTACAATCAAATCCTGGGAGACTAGATTCTCATCCTTTCTGCCCACTTGACGACTCCGAGCATCCTCATTCTCCAAGCTCAACGAACCTGAACACTTGCAAAACCCTGCATCAAGGCTGAAGGGCTTAAGGGGCCTTTAGGCAACAGAAGTCTCGGACAGGGCCCTTCACTTCTTCATTCTTTGTTGAACTCACCACGACACGACCTGTACAACATGGATCCCAACCGTCTGGAACTGGGTTACGGCTGGCCCGACACCCGACGCCTCGCCACGCTTCTGCGGGAGGGAATCCCGGAAGCCTCGTCTTCCGCTCTGAGCGAATGGGACGGATCAGTACGGATTGATCGGACACCAGGTAAAGTACGGTAGCTTACGGTAGCTTATGGTAGCTTCTAATGGTCAGGGATGGAGATGTAAGCGTTGTAAATCGTATGAAAGGACGGTGGTTGCAGCGCATGTGTTTGCTGGTTCTTCTTAATGACTCGGTCTCATCAAGCTGAGAGATGTTTCGGACCTTGGAGCCTCCAGGAGCATTTATTCGAGGTGTTGGCCTTCACAATCTGACATGAATGAGATGAAGGTCTTGAAGAGAGGCGAACCACTAGATGACAAGTGCAAGAAATACCAGTACTGATATAACATGATAAAACATTATACTCAAGCATTGTCCTCTGCAATGCACAACCAAACCAGAGCCCCTCCCCGGCCTTATCCAACATTCTTTGAACCAGTCGTTTCGAACCAGTCGTTCCGGGTGCCGGGTGCATTCTTCGGCGTTCCGAAGGCTGTGTCCAAAACGCCGCTCCAAAACGTGGCGAGAGTCCAGACTCAAATCATCGTGTGTGGGGTGCCCTGGATCTTCTTAAAGACACACCGCGGCATCGGCCAAATTCGGCAAAAGCTTATTGGCCAAATGCATAGGTGTGAGGAGAAGGGGCGGAGCATGGCGGAGCATTCACACGACTGGCCAGCTGTGTTCCCCGAACTGGCAAGCGCTTCAGCGATGGCATCTGAAATCTCAGGTGGCAGCCTGGACAGGTCAATGGTAGTGACCAGAATGTGACAATAGCATCGTCACAGTCGTCGCACTTACCACTTACCCATAAGTTTACCACATGTGGGGAAGAATTACAAACACCCTGGTTGTATCCGGAAGAGAGTGAATACAAGAGTTAATTAGAATTAACTCCGGTGTTAATTCTTCATCTTCAACCCCTATTCAACCCTGCACTCGATGGGGAATTAACTCAAGAGTTAAATTCCCTCAGCAACGTTGTGCACAAAGACACACCAAGAATGAATTAACACTGGAGTTAACTCGTTTCCTTGGGTTGGGTTTCTTGTTTCCTTTTCCTTGTTTCTCTATGGATGTTTCCTTTAGCAAGGGAGAAGAGAGGCAGAAGGCAGGGAAGCACCAGCAAAGAAATAACTCTGGAGTTAATTCTTTTCCTTGGTCCCCTGGTTCCTCTTCTCCTGGTGAATGAAACTCTTTTCCATAGTAAGTCTTATGGATGTTTCCTTTAGCAAAGGAGAAGAGAGGCAGGAGGCAGGGAAACACCAGCAAAGAATTAACTCTGGAGTTGATTCTTTTCCTTGGTCCCCTGGTTCCTCCTCTCCTGGTGAATGAAACTCTTTTCCATAGTAGGTCTTATGGATGTTTCCTTTAGCAAAGGAGAAGAGAGGCAGGAGGCAGGGAAACCAGCAAAGAATTAACTCTGGAGTTAATTCTTTGCCTTGGTCCCCTGGTTCCTCTTCTCCTGGTGAATGAAACTCTTTTCCATAGTGGGTCTTATGGATGTTTCCTTTAGCAAGGGAGAAGAGAGGCAGGAGGCAGGGAAGCACCAGCAAAGAAATAACTCTGTAGTTAATTCTTTTCCTTGATCCCCTGGTTCCTCTTCTCCTGGTGAATGAAACTCTTTTCCATAGTAGGTCTTATGGATGTGTCCTTTAGCAAAGGAGAAGAGAGGCAGGAGGCAGGGAAGCACCAGCAAAGAATTAACTCTGGAGTTAATTCTTTTTCCTTGGTCCCCTGGTTCCTCTTCTCCTGGTGAACGAAACTCTTTTCCATAGTGGGTCTTATGGATGTTTCCTTTAGCAAAGGAGAAGAGAGGCAGGAGGCAGGGAAGCACCAGCAAAGAAATAACTCTGGAGTTAATTCTTTTCCTTGGCCCCCTGGTTCCTCTTCTCCTGGTGAATGAAGAGGCAGGAGGCAGGGAAGCACCAGCAAAGAATTAACTCTGGAGTTAATTCTTTTCATTGATCCCCTGGTTCCTCTTTTGCTGGTGAATGAAACTCTTTTCCATAGTAGGTCTTATGGACGTTTCCTTTAGCAAAGGAGAAAAGAGGCAGGAGGCAGGGGAGCACCAGCAAAGAGTTAACTCTGGATTTAATTCTTTTCCTTGGTCTCCTTGCTCCTCTTCTCCAGGTGAATGAAACTCTTTTCCATAGTGGGTCTTAGCAAAGGAGAAGAGAGGCAGGAGTTAGGGAAGTCCCCATGGTAGGTGCTGTCTTCCCGGTTTCCGGGCAGATACTACCAATGCCATGCTTTTTCAAGCCAAAACTGCCATCCAAATACGTGCGAAAAAGAGTTAACTCTGGATTTAATTCTTTTCGAGGAGCCCTGAAAAGGAATTAACTATGGATTTAATTCTTTTAGATAGACAGAAATCGACTGATATATGTGGAGCCAGCAGGACCCTGTGGGAAAAGAATTAAATCCAGAGTTAATTCTTTTACATGGCAGCATTCAAGGAGGAATTAACTCCCAAGTCAATGCTTCTGATGGAACCCTTGATGAGTAGCAAATCCTGAAGAATTAACTCCAGAGTTAAAACTAAAGAACTCTTGTATCTACTCTTTTTCGGTTGTATCCTAGTGGCTTTGATATGGCTTTGTAGTCTTCCCACTTACCTCATAAGGCCTTTTGTGACCACTGCGGTTTCCACAGACTGAGGCCCCCAAAGCAGGAGGCAGCTGAGGCCATGACCCACCAGACTTCTGTCGGAGCTTGTGAATGGCCCTGAAGCTGTTGGTTCCCGTGGTCCACGGGGATCTAAGGGGGTGTGGTCCGGTCATGGTGGACCTGTCGGTTTTGATAGAACGATGGACAGGACACACATTTTTGGATTCCAAAACTCCAATGGGGGGGTCCATGGTCATTGGGATTCACATGGCTCTTCATCATCTACGACCCTGGTCGCTTCGCCGAGTTCTTTTCGCCAAAAAAGCGGCCCGGCTCCATAGGATGGCCATATTGGCTCCATCCCGACTGAGATCTCCGGCTTGAGGGTATGAAGGCATTCTTTTCTGAGCTTCTGCTGGCTTGCAGCTTTGTCCTGGCTGCGTGTCGAGAGAAAGAGCCCTCCTTCGGCCCTTCGCTTCGAACGTGCTGCCCGAGACCGCCGCACCATGGCCGTGGGGCCTCCTGTGAACCACAGCCAAATCAGCGTAAAGTCTGAGTCACGACGTGATTGTCCGCCTTTGATGGCTCAATAGGTGTTTGTGTTTTTCAATATAGCTTGAAGGGCCGACTTGGCAATCAAATATGGGATCCGCACGGGCAATGTCTCGTCAACTTCCCGAAGCTGACGAAGACCCGTAGGAGGAAACGCTTCTCGGCTTGTGCTTGTACGGTCAGGTCAAGTCAGAGTTTTGACACGTGGGACAAAAGCCGGTAGCGAAACCAGAAAAACATTGATCGGTGCTCAGGAATCAATGGAAAGTACCTGAAGTGGACTCATCCAACGTCTGAAGAAACCTGGATCGTCGACAAGGCACTGGCGGCCATGCTCATTAACCTTAGCAGTAGCATGCACCTCTTCCGGGCACGTCCCGGCCACCCACACAAACCCACGGTAGAAGGGGCAGTGCAACCGAAAGCTTTCACCTTTGGGGGGAGTGAACCCTGAAACAACTTATAGACGGCACCGCTGGCCACACGCCTCTGACGCCTCCAGAGAGATCATCAACTCCGCGCACAGCTTGGCACAACCTCAGACACAAACCAAGGAGTCAAGGGAGATTGACAGTGCAAAAGAGTTACAGTACAACATAAGTCCTTTGGATTCCTTTGGCCGGCGGTAGACAGGTCCAGCAATGACAATGGAAGCAAGAAAGGCATGCAAACAGCAAACACTGCAATTAACAGTCAGTGCGACCGACGTACGATGGGTTGGGACCGGGGACCGCCAAAAGGACGACTCTTGACTGCATGATTCGGACAAACAAGTCAAACAACTGCAGCGATGTTGTTCAGCAAGAAGTCCTTTGCCTTCCCGGCTTCGGTTTGTTCAGCAATAAATTCTTCTGAAACACTTCTTCTATTCATTGGCATTTCCTCCTTTCACTGAGTTGAAGCTGGCCCCTTGATCAGTGTCTCTTTATCCAACTGCTAGCTCTTGTCTTGATGTTCTCTACATTTCCCCCTCTTTAGCTCTCAGCACTCTTCATTTCAAATCATCTGGCCCACAGTCACTTTCAAGCTGCTCGCCCCCGCAAAAAACAGAAGCCGAACCAAACAAGTCGCAAAGCCGTGCCATGCAACAAAGGAACAAACTGAACAAGATCCAGCAAAGCTAATGAGGCAAGAGAGAGGCCAACCTTCTGCAAGCAAACGGGCCGTCTCTTCTCACCGATTTCGCTGTGGTACTATTGGATTGACACTATCATAGATCATGTGCCTCAGTGTCCCGCCATCTGCGAAAACCGTTTGCGTGGCAACGTCCTCCTGCAGCTCGTAACAATCTCTCCAAATATTGATGACAACGGTGTGAAGATATGCGGAGCACCGGGCCTTGGAGGTCGTCTCTGGCGGAAGTGGCCTGCCACGTGACACTAAGTGGTGACGACACACCACACAGCCCGAAGCTAGTGCTAGTAATTACTCAAACTGGAGACCCCTCAAGGACGGCAATTGATCAAAAGCACCACTAAGCACCACATGCTTTGTAGATCCATCACATGTTGGATGAGATTCGATGCATGTCTATGCTTGTCCCACATCATTCACTGATCATCGCTGATCAACATCTGCGGAGTGCCCCCGGCCGCAACAAGTGCGTGTGGATGAAAATCAACTGGCTCCGCCGTGCGAAAGCCTGCGAAAGCCGTCGAAAGAGCTCAACGTGCCCGGAAGTCGTGGCTGTCGGGTTTCTTGGTCCGGGAAGTGGTCCGTCATTAGTGCCAATGATAACGGTAACTATGATATTCATGGCACGATATATATATATATATCAGGATACATTTGATATATAATGTATATAATCTATATATTATAGTATAATATAGGTTGATTATATATGTTTAATGGTTCAGCATGGTTCAACTAATGGTAGGTAGTCGTGTTTAAACGCTACTCCCCATGGTTCAATGCTAGTACGTGCACCTGTCTCAACACCTTTGGCATACTGAGAGGAGATTGAGGATTGACACAAAAGAAATCAAGAGAAACTACCCAGAAATGTCCAAGGAACCAGCGGCTTTGAACAATGTCGCGCTTCAGTTTTCCACAATGATCACACACGTGTTTAAATTAACCTTTGGGGCAAATGTTGCCCCTCTCCTCGACCACCACCACCACCACCAGTTGAGGCTCGTCAGCCACACCCACAAGAGCTTCATAGCAAAGCAAGAGTCGGAGCGTTTGTTCAAATGCAACTTGAAAGCTTGCTGTAGCTAATTACTTGTTCTGCCTCCCCTTCGCCATTGTACCGTGTAGGGTTGGCAGCTCAAAAGCATAGCAGGCCTTCCTCGCACCTTTGATGGCTTTGCTCCTGGAGATCCAATTGCAGTGAACAAATGAACAAATGCAAACAAGATCAAACGAGAATAAACAAGAAGACTGCTACAAGGCCACATGCGTAAAAACATGCATGTCCACACGAAGTCCACACATGTGAAGCAAAATGAACACCAACAAAGGTGCAAGGGTGGCGCTTGTGCCATGAAGAGATATTATGTTATGAGATTGAATGCAGAGCACTGTCGCCTTCTCAAAGACGGGCCGCATTCAAAAGCCAAATCGACAACCCAACATGACGTGTATAAGGGCCTAGGCACAGCCCCCTCCAGGCGGTGGTCAACCAACGAGTCTTCTGAACCAACGACGCCCACCGACCCCGAGCACCAGGGCAAGTTCAGCAGCATTTGTGGTGCTCGCGCCTCGGAGGTCCACCAGTCGGCAGCGAACCAACCCAGTCAGCAGACCTGCTGGCGGCCTGTTTCTTGATGCCTGCTCACGACCAAACCAGAAGAATAAAGGAGATGGTGAGATGGTCTCTACATGTTCATTCCAGCCCGGCTGTTGTTCTTGTCTTGAGTTTTGACCCACGACCTGTACAAAAGCAAATCAACTGTAACAAAGGGTTCCGATGCGATTCCACCCCTTGCGCCTGCTGATGGTTCACTGACTCTGGACCTGGCTAAGTGCATCCAAGCGTCAACAAAGGCTTTCAGCGCAGCTTGACACCAATGGTCGAACTCCTTCGGCTCGGACCCCCGACGTGCGCCGACCCCGTCCGCGCCGCGGCGGTCGTTCGGACGACCGGAGGCTGGTCGTCTTGGCCTCACCTGTGGGGGACCAAGAGCCTAGTTGGACATGGCCAGAATGCTCTTTGGGTGTTACTTCGGCTTGTGTGGTGTTACTTCGGTGTAACCCTCGTTACAGGTCATGATTATGAGGCTACCTGGCAAAGGCGCACCTGAATCATCATTGATGTAATCTGCTGAGAGGGGGTCATCATCATTCCACACTCCTAAGGGGAGGAGGTGTCTTTGCTGTGGAGTGCCCTGAGCTCATTCAGATCAGCAGGTGTGATGAAACGGGAGTCTTCAAAACGTATTCACAACCGGATTTGTGTAAATTCAGGCTGCACCCAGTTCGCACACATTTGCCGTACAATCAGATGACCAATGAAAAAGGTACTGTCGACATCCTTAGGCTACATTCATACCTTCCTCATCCTTCCTGATCCTCTTCCTCCAGTTCCCCACCTCAACCCCCGAGCCGCGGAGTCCTTCTTGCCACCCCACTCTTGTAGCAGCTTCGCTAACAGCTTCTCAGCCAATGTCCAGCCTACCGGGGCCAAATGAATGAAGCTTCAGACAGAAGTAAGGCCAGGAGCCCCTAGTAGCAACTGAGAGGGCCAGGGAGACATAGATAGAAATCTACTGGTGTGGTGCCTCTAGTGGTGTGGTGAGATATAGTGAGATGCTGCATCGTTGGGCTCTCTCATTGTGATGGATCAGGTCTGCGCATGTCATGGGAGTGCTTCCTTCGGTGTAGGACCGTCACCAAGTCGCGCATCGCGTCTCAATGCCTTGACCCGGCTTTAGCTCAGATCCCTCCTATCAGCGTCTTCGGAGGCATTAAGGCCAAGTGCCAGGAACTCTCTCCCAAATGCTTGGAACCCAAAACTCAAAAGTAGAACATCCAGTCCATCATCACCCAAAGAGATCTTCCCAAAAAGTTCCCTCCCCGAGGGAAAACTAGCTCTTTTGCTGTAGATTTGTACTTTCTCAGTCATTGATTTATGTTATCTTGTGAGTCTCAATGCCATGGAGGGGCCGGCCGTCCTCTTCTTGGCTTGCAAGGCGATGGCACGCGCAAAGGAAATACAAGTGGGTGCCAAAGACCTCATTTCCACACCAGCACCAAGCAATTGTGGATCTACTAGCGCAGGTCCAAGATGATGCAAACCATCATGTCATGGGTTATGACATGACCACAAGCTTTTGATGCTTCCTCTCATCATGATTCATCATGCTGGGCTGTTTTTCAATGCTCTCTGACTGGAGCTGTTCTGTTCAAAGTGCAAAACTCGGGCAAAAAGAATGGATTAGTGGCTTCCTAGGAAAGCCATAGACGTTAGAAAACAGCTCCACTGTCCAACAACAATAGAGCTGACTGGGAAACAAAGCAACCAAGTGCTGCTTGCATGAACTTCACAGCGCTCAAACCAAGGGGGTGACAGAGCCAGCAACCGGATCAAACCACAGCTGGAGCTCACATCCGGCTGACACACCGGCAGGTATCATGCAGGCCAACTGCCGTCCATCTGGCACTGTCACTGACAGGGTTTGTCCACTGAAAACTCCTGCAGGGACCACGATTTGTAAGACTTCTCCTTCCCGCTCTGGAGTTGCTGGAGCCACTGGTGCCACCGGCACCGCTGGTGGGAGAGTGTGAATGCCATTGACCTCCAAGAAGGATCGAAGCTCCAGGCACCAAAGGCCTCGACTGTGGGGATCATTCAGAATCCGTGTGAGCCATCGTTCGAGGCCATGGCGTCGATCTTCCAGTTTGGCCCCCTCGCAGCTCAACAAGTGCTTGGGAGGGAAGTCCTGGTTGATCCACGCGTGGCGCGCCATCCGGTGAAGCCGCTCCTTCAAGGAATCGAAATCGTTGTAGCGCTTCTGTACTCGGTATGAAGGCCCCACCTCCGGCACCACATCCACGCTAAAGAAGGTCACTCCTTGCTGCTTGGAGATTCCCATGGCAGGAATGCCCACAGCACTGACACCCAACGGTGGAACTTGAAGAATTTCCGTCACATGTCCTTTACCGTTGCCTTTCCATCCACCCTTGCCTTCATAGACCACCACGGGCGTGGCTCCCGCTTGCGGGGTGACAATCACCTCCCGCACGGGCTCGGGGCGTCGTGAAGCGACTGCATTGGCCACGGCACCGGCAGCGATGGCGGCCACGCTGCCCACGACGGCCACCTCGGCCACTTCTGCCACTGCTCGTCCAATGCCGTGGTGATGATGAGGATGATGGTGATGGTGATGGCCCCAGTGATGGTAACCCCTTCCGTGTCCCCAGCCCATGGCGAAGACTAATTGCTAGCTGTTGGAAGTCCAAGTCTTTAAGTGGCGGCTTGCTTGAGCCCAAGATTTCATCCAAGCACGCGCGAAACCGTTCAGTGCGTCTTCTGCCGGCCTCGTCCTTCACTGTCCCCCTATCACCGTCCGTCGCACACATGAACTGAGCTATGGACCTCTAAGACCTGCTGCCCACTCCTTGGGAAGGTGCTCTTTTCGCAGGGGCACGGCCCAGGGTCCGAGGGCCTGAGGAGTCCTATGGAGTCCTTTTTGGCTCTGAAAAAACCACTGAGGCTGAACTGTGAAGAGCACCCGCCTTGCCAACTGTCTTCTCTCACAACACTTTGGCCACATCTCAATGTAGGGATGGGGACCTCTCAACTCTCGTACCTTCTCTCTCTCCCTCTCTCTCTCGCTAGTGTTTGTTCCATTGATTGGTGGAGACCTCCCGTGCGCCGCACCGCGCCCCTAAGCGTCCCACGCGCAGAACCGCGCTTTGTGGCCTTGAGTGCAGATCTCACGGGCCTGAAACAAAGCTTACTGGCACTGGGACCTGGGAGGTGGAGCCCCTGGGTTCCCCAAACGAAAACGTGGAGGAGCTGAGTTGAAAGCCAGGTTGGCTTGGGGCTAGTTGGACAAGAGAAGGATGGAGAAGGCCACGCAAGGCTCGCCTTGGTTGCCCATTCTTCTGCAGAGTGCCAGCCTCGCCATGGAGCTGACCAATGACGGAAAAGAGTTTAAGTTATAAACCAAATTGTTGAAAATTTTAGAGAACTAGAGACATCCATCATGCCCCTGTGTTCCCCATTGAGACCATACCGTCATACCGGCCATCATAACGGCCTGTGCTTTTTCATCTAGTCACAACGATACGATTGCCGGCAAGCACTGAGGCTTGAATCTTATCTTGCATCTTCCCTTCGCCCTGGCTCGTGCTCACCAGTGCCTGAAAGGATTTGTAGAGATGCAGGTCGGCCTGTAAAAAATGCTTGCTGTTACGCGCCAGTCTGCAGAGTCTGCACTCTCTTTTGTGGACATTCGAACACCGGGCGCCCTGCAGCTGTTCTTCGTCAAGCGTGCCAAAACCTTCTGCACCTTCTGCACTAGATTCTCCTGTAGTTGTGGCTCAGCATCACGGTCTTTCTCTCGGTGGGAGTTGTGTGTATATAAACAAAAAACTCTCCCAAGGGTTTTGGTGCCTCTGAGTAGCTACTCTCCTTGTGGGTAAATCCGTCGGTGAGTCTAAATACCTCAACCACGTTAACCACACAGCAGTTTGCCCTGCAAACTTATTCCTGACAACCCTGGAAATGGAATGACACGGGGGAAGCGTGAATCGTAACGTGAAGAGCGAAAGTATATATATATATACAGTGTGATTGTATATGTGTGTGTGACAAAGTATATTATGCAGAACAAAGCTCCAGGCGGAGCTTGGAGTCCACAGATGCTTGCCTAAGTACCAGTCTGCACATGCCAGTCTCCACTTGGACCTCCAGTTGGGATCTTTGGCCTCTAAAAATCCATTGGTCAACCCTCCCTCCAGCCGCATAGGAGCGAGATAGACAAACAGAAGTCCGGGAGACCGCCGATCTCCTCGAGGTCTCGGAGGGCAAGATCGCCCTGGCGAAGAACGGGTGGGAAGTCGTTTTTGGGAGGTTTTTGACGGGGAGGAGCATTCCATGATATTCGAATGGTGCCATTCCATGAGTGAATGCACCCCATTCAATGTTCATTTCACGGTGCCTGGCTGCCAATGGCTGCCATAAACACACAATTCATGTCATTCCGCTGCACTGTCCAAGCCACGAACGTCCCATTCCGCTGCTGGAATGGAATGGTACAGCATGGCACAACGTCCAAGCAGCTGTGAAAGAGCGGAAGGCAAGTTGCACTGCAAGGTACAAAATAGTACCCAATGGCCTCCAACCTACTAGCGATGGCCTACTACCGCGTCATTGTTTCATACTTTTTCTGAGCCCAAATCTTCCCTCGCATCCTCTATCATCCCCTCACCTTCGTCGACTTCTTTGTGGCCTTGCCATCTTCAGCTCCTGGACATGTGCAGTTCAAGCACGAGCGAAAGTGGTTTCACAAACAAAGAATCTATCGCAGGCCAGGTTGAGAAACGGCACCATTTCTGTCTGACGGTGAGGTGATGATCCAAATGTAACGTATATGCAATCTATATACACGCTATATTATATATAATATACAGTACATTGATCAAAGCATCGTCGAACAAATGGTCCATCATCTAAGATTCTTGTACTGCCTTCTTCATATTATCTTCATAAGGATTTGGGCTCTGTCATCTTTGTCCCAATTGTTTTTATTAAAGGTCACTCACTGGGCATCACGGGCTCGCCTTCTTCCTTTTCCTGTGCGGAAAGCATGCTCCGGCCATGGATGCATCTCCAATGTCTAATGAGTGTCACACATGTTGCCTCAGCAACAAGACCAGCACGGAAGTGACTTCAGAATTCTTCACTGTCATCCGAGAGTCTTCCTGCCGGCAACCTAAGAAGTCCTACAACCCGTCCGCTGTCCAGCGCAAGTGCCGGAGGAGAACTACTCTCAAAGTGTCGCATATGCAACTGGCGAATGAGGAAAGGCACCTGGAATGGTACCTCGCGACCAACCTTCGGCCCACGCAAAAACCATGTATAGAACATCCAGCAAACGCCTCTCTGGGTTGCACTTCTACGTCCCAAAGCACCAACCACACCCAAATGTCAAAACAAACCGAGCGGGTGTTCGGCTTGCCAACGGCCATGAAGAGAAGGATCTCTTGTCCGTGACTCTTGCCCAAACCCGCCTGGCGATTCACCTTCGCCTCGCAAACCACGAATGGACCACGTGACTGAATCTGATGTGAACATTGGACAAGTGTCAAGCGCATATGGAACTACAGCTGTCTGGTGGTTTTCCGGAGGACATGACATGCCAGCAAAGGCGGTGGCCGGTGGCCGGTCACAGCTGTCTTCGTGCCAATGCCCAACTCACCAAGCAACACCAAAAACTGCCCCCCTTGGCTGTCGCATGCCCTTCAGTCTGGAATCGTTCAGTCTAGATGTCTAGGCAATTTGCTTGTGGATGAGCACAAGCAAGCACATTGCGTTGCACTTGCTTTGGACACCAATTCAGTACACCAGTCGTGGACCATGCCAATCCATCGAGACCAGGACTCCTAGCGCCGATCCAAATGTTCAGCCCTGCCTTGTGTCTCAAGTCGACCATGGCCTTAGACACCCTAATGCATCCAAGTCCTCTGAATTTGGGCTTGGTGATCAATCATATATTAAGCATAAATATGTATAGCTTTGTTTATCAAATTCCCTTCCACACCAATTGGGGTGAAGCAATTCAGGACCAGATCCTGCAAGAAAGCCACCCATACTTCAAAAGTGCATTGAGCGCATTCATTGAGCGACTAAGCCATCTGAATGTTCCCCGAGGCCCAGTCGCTCAGAAGCTTCTCTACCACCTCCAAACTCACTGGACGCCTCACAAGCGAATGAACGACTTCATCCGTGGGGAGCTCGTGTGAGGCAAGAAACGGTCCGCACATCTATTGCAAGGATTGTTAGGTTCAACCTACAGTAGTCCTGGCCACTAGGTGGGGCGGGTGCCTCCCCCATGAAGATGGGGAGGTTGATGGAAAGGAGAAGATCTCAGCAGAGTCCTAGAGAGGCCATAGGCCACGTGTGAATGCTGCAAAATGGTCACGACCTATCAGTAGGCCTCAGGGCCACTTGTTGATGAGGGTTCAGGTACCTAACGGCCGTCTCAGATTCCCAGATTTCGGGGGACCCTTCCTTCCTTTCAGCCCACCGCGTCCAGGACTGAGGCATCCCGTCTTGTGCCCTGAGCGTGTCAAGAAGGACTCCATCAGCTCGGCCTGAAGCAGCGGGGCGACGGCGGCGACGGCGAAGGGTGCAGTGCGTGATGGAGCAAAACGGGAAACCATCGTGTCTGAAAAGATCAGAAACTAACGTGTTTGGCTAAAAATGGTTTCGATGGCGCGGCATGTCACAGACATGATGGACATGCATGCTAATGCATCTTTCCTGGCCCCCATTGGATTTGGATAGATGTGTGTGACGGGTGAATGCAGAATTGGCGCTCACTGACAAATGTTCGATTCATCACCAGGTGTCACCTGGCATGAATTCTTGGGTGGCCAAGAACAAGTTGCGACTCAATGAACGTGCAACCGGTGCAACCCTTAAACTCTGTGAAACTGCCATGCATGCAACGCTCCACATTGGAATGCAACTCGCGAACGCCACCGCGTCTCCAAGTGGACGCCGGGGAAAGAGGTCGCCGCGTCTCCCATGTCATCGCCATGCGCCTCTCGCAAGCGTCGGACGAGGTCGTCTTGCATCTCCCGCTGCTTCTGTTGCCTGCAATCGAAGCTGAGCATGACCAAAGTCTCTGCTCAGGATGAGGGCCCAACACCAAAATCACATTAAGTTGACTCAGTTTTTCTTGGAGGCTGTTTTCAGCTTTTTGCTGATGTCATCATGCCTTTAAACGATGTACAGCCAGGCGCAGCAAGAACAACAACAACAACAACAACAAACACAAACAACATGCCCTCGTCGAATTTGACGCTTCAGTCTGCACATTTGGCCTTTTGGTTAGGGTCTTCTTCTTCTCGTTGCTGGCACCCTCCAGTCCTTACACGTCTAAAGACATGTGAGGGAGGTTAGGGGTCGTAGCGACCTCTGAGTTTCATGTTGAGGGGAAGAACCAGGTCTAAAGTTTAAAGTTTAAAGGATCATGGTCCATGGCGCAATGATGTGCAATGGCAACATGTGAGCTCTGATGGCGTCTGCACATCACATAACCCAGGCAACTTCCGATTCCTTGCAGCACATGGCGGTCAGCAACCACAAACGAACTTTGCCTCTAACACCGACTGGTTGCCAGTTCCGTGCTGATTCAAGCGGGGGGTAATTGAATCGAAGCTGGGCAAAACCCAAATCGCACCAACAAACGACCGACTGATCATATCTGAAACACTCCGACGAACACATCAGTCACATGGAGTTGGATGGCATGGCCTCTAAGACTTCTAAGAAGGCTGTCCTTCCTTTACCAAATCCAGTGTCTTGCCACCTATTTTTTGTGAGCCGGCTGAAATCCATGCCCGCGTGTCATCAGCACATGGCGCATGGCCATTTGCCGGTGAGCTGGGCTACCCACTGGAGCCTGCGAAGGAGTTCATCAACTCGCCACCACCGTCATCGAGGAGCTGTGAGAGGACCTGAGTTGCGAAGTCTCGGGCGCCTGGTTGAGATGCGATGCTGGCATCTCCCAGCTGTCATAGTATGACGTGTGCGTCCAGTTTCTATACTTGGCTTTGCACACCAGAGTGGTCTAGAGTTGTCACATCCTCCTCCTCTTCGTCCTGGAGTCGATCAAAGGAAGCAAGAAAGGCTTGCACGACATGGCTTTGAGGCCACCAGCATGCACGCAAGCAAGTAAGCAGGAGCTTAATCAAAAGGCTGGCAAGGAGGCAATTATCAAATACTGCGCTATAGCATTAGCAACTGCTGTCACCGTAGCATATCGTAGCTCCTCATCCTCTTCAGGCTTGGCCTTGGCATTCTTCTCCTGGCTTACTGAGAAGCCACAGGCCACAAAGAGTGATCCAGTTTCTATTCTCTGAGAGCGGGAGATGTTGCATCCCATCTCATGATGAACAAAAGCAAAAAGGATCAACAAGGGATATTACTGCAAGTGGTGCACTCTGCAACGTGACATGCAATCTCAGCCTTCCAGGAGTCCATGAATCTTCACTTCGAAATCCAATGTGAGCATTCTCTCATCTTGAAGTTGTTTGTCTAAAAGACACTTCTGATGCATCACCTAACACCAAAACAAACATCTACAGAAAACATATGAAAACATCCATCCCACCTTCATCGCGGCAATGGCTTGATCAAAGACGGCCTTTCGAGATCCTCAGGCTCTCGAAGTCAGACTTCGAGTGCGGGGCCCATGGTGCAGAGGGATGGAGCTGCACCACCGAACGAACACCAAGCAACCTGCCGGTTCGGTCTGATCCGGGCAGGTCCAGACCGCTGGTGGTGTTCTTCGTTTCGCGCGGGGCGCGAAACGAATTGATATGCAATGAGTTGTCCCAGAGTGCACATGAAACATCTCGGCACACCTGCAAACCCCCAACCCAATTGGTGCATCTCCGGCTAGCTCGCCGCTCAAATTATCGCTGCTGTGCTTCCGACATGGGACCATGTCAGACCCTGAAGGCTCCACAGATGTGAACACATCCCGAAAGACCGGATGTGAAGGGATGTGTTCACATCGGGATGTGTTCAACTTCTGCGGACTTCATCTGAACATATCTGAACTTCATCTGTGAGCTCCATCTGCAGTCTTCTCCGACAGCTCACCCTTTCTCATCCTCTTTCCCCCCCGAAGGGGGTCTCGAATGGCGGCGTCGGCTTCGGCATTGTCGTCCCACTCGCTGCAGTCTGAAAGTCTGAGGGGCTTAGGGGTGCCCAAATCGGTTGGTGCCCGCACACTTGGCGGGAGCATCTGGTGACCTGGTGACCTGGTAGACCTGTGCCCCTGGTCTTAGCTGGAAGGTGACACCAGTTGAGAACCTCAGCCTGGCAGTACGGTAGTAAGGCAGTATGCCTTGATCCGACAAGGTGATCCCCGTAGACCAACCATCCCTCGACTCGGATCTGAGGATTGCACCATCTGGATCCGCATCTCCTTCATCCTCTTCATCATCATCCATCTGGAGAAATTTGATGGGGTCCGGTGGCAGCACGATCGGCTTTCTCAAATGGGGGTGGGGTAACAATTTGATTTTAACATTGTCATCCTCAAAAATCTCTAGAGATCCAAAGTTTCAATCACAGGCTTGTACCCTCGGACCACCAAGCCCGCACTAGACAGGAGCTAGCTACAAATGCGGCCCAGCAACTGGAGAGCCACGCGTTTCTGGAAAACACATGTCAAATAAACCCCTCTTGGAAAACAGAATAAGTCTATAGGTTGTTATGTTCACTAGTGACGTTGGGCGGACTGGGGAAGCATGCTCAATGTTGCATTCTTGATTTGATGTCAACCATGTTTATGGTCTTTTGCTTTTCGCTTCGTCTTTGACAACGTGCTTTCTTTATATAATTGCCAACCTCCCCAGCGCAACAAATGCAGCCCTGCAAGGCCTCAGGCTCGTCCACCGGCTCATCCGTCTCCTCTATAGGAGCTCCACACACCTCCATCGGCCAGCAGAATCAATTCACTTCCCATCAGAATTGTGGTCAACTTGTCACTTGGTGACTTCTCACTCCTCCTTCAACTTAGTCTTCGGGGTTGTTCGGGATCTCTCACGATCCAGAGGCATGGCTGCGTACTGGCGAATACCACCAGAGCAACGAAACAAAAATACATTGGATTAGAAACAAAGACTCGTGGCCAATGGGCGCGAGATAACTTCAACCACGCAGAAACATAAGCACAAAAGGATCGCAAAAGGACTGCGGCAGAAAGTATGACCCAGTCAGACCTTGCCCAACAAACACAGAAAGCGCTAAAATCAGTGATGCGCGGTGATGCTTCACCATGCACACAGCATTCATTGATTCCTTTGATTCAACACTCAGCCTGTGGGATAGCTAAATGATGCAAAATACATACCAAAGACAAGGGGCCGAAGAGCAAAGACTCTGGACGGTCTCATCCTTAGCAAGTCTCTCAATGCAGCAAGCCTCTACTTCATGTCACTAACTAGTCCTAGACCATTGACTCACCGGCCTTGATCCAAAATGACGCTCACTTCCACAGTACCTGCTTCCTAAGACTGTTAGGACTTGGAAACGTATTACCAGAATCTAGTCTTTTCACTGCCCATGGGTAGTGCAACAAAATCCAGAGAATCCTTCATTCTCTCACTTTTGGCCAGTGTTCTAATCATTCCAAGCCGCCGCTGCATATAAGGCGAGCTCTCGCCATGCGATCTTGCAGGCCTGCTCTGGTGGGTTGGTCCAGGCTTGTTTTTCTCGGCAACCCATGGTGGACTAGTCTGCTTCGGAGGACTACACTGAGTTGCCCAGGGTGTGTGGGGGTGTGGTTCTGTGTGTGTATGCGTGTGTGGTGGTTGTGTTTGTTTCCGGGGTCGGGGGATGGAAAAGCACTCAGACTTAACAGATATTAAAAGGACATGATTCTTGTCGCAAAGCTTGGCTGCTTAACACTCATTTTATGAGGCAAGTGTAACAATAGAAAACTAAACCTATGTCAAGCGACGACCTCTGCAGCTCATAGCTAGGTGGAAAAACAGTCCACACATCAACAAGGGAATGGACTGACATCCCGTGTGCTCCTCTCGAATGATGCCCATGGAGTCTCCCACATAGAGCTCAGCGGCGATCTCAGATCGGGTGCGTTGTGCCCAAGTGGGTGACTCCAACTCCAAACCAGGGAGTCGAACCTGGTCGCTGGCACATTTGCTATAGGAATCAAGTCTTAATTACAAGGCGCCGTTGCTTCCCTAGGTCCTAGGTTGCGAGAGCGTTGAGATGTCACAATCATCCAATTTATCCTGTTGAGATGTTGATGAGTCCACGTCGTGCAGGAGTTCTTGCTGCATTCCCGCTGAGATCCTCTGAGCATTCCCACTGGCGGAATGCCTGCCATCGTTTCCTGCAAGTGCCTCCTGAGCGCTGGGGTTTGTTGGGAAAAAGTCAGACCAGGTGTGTCGGAGATTCCTCGGATGCCACAAAGCACACGGTGTCAGAGCTGAGCTGGTCATTCGAACAAACTTGGAAAGGTGCACATTCAGGCTCCATCACACCTAGAGCGATGTCATGGATACCTATCTTCGACTACAAACTCTCACGCCCACAAAATGCTCTAGGCATGTTATTATGGGATATCCATGGATATCCAATGCGTGCCACGATCGAAGAAACAGATGATCCCATGATTCTTGTCAGGTCATTCTCCGCATTGCTCCAGAAAGCCTTTCCAGTTTGAGGCCCCAGCTTCGGTTTGGGCTCTTTCGCCTGGGCTGCAAAAGGGGCAGGATTGATTGGTTCCTGTTTCATGCGCCCCAGGCGATGATCAGCTAGTTGGGGATCACCCAAGCCATCTGACAGTGGCAACTAGCAAGAACTGAACCTGGACCTAATCTAATCCTACAGTACGTGGTGCGTATGGCCTGCAGGTGTGCAAAGGAACAATAAACCCCTTGGTGCCCATAATGTGTCCGGATCTGATCCCTTGACGCAACTGAGGCGAGCACCTTGGAGGTCAGGCTCTTCACGATGCTCAACAACTGCGGCGAACCGCCGCGCCCCAAGCAGGAAGCGTCACATATCTCCGGTTCGTCGCCCCCCAAACCTGAAAATAAAAACACACAGATTAAAGCAAGTCTGGTGAAGGTCTGCTTAGGTGTTCAATCCATTCACTCGACGTGCTATTCTTCTTCAACCGATCTGCGTCAAAATGTCCCAACTGCCCCGGATGCCATGTTGAAAAGCCTTTTTCTCCCTGACATCCCGGAACTGGCCTCTGACATGACTTCTTTGGCCTCAGGAACGGATTCACACAGCCGATCGCAGTTGTTGTCCTCCCAACCTGATGTAAATGCCATGAAACCGAGGCTCAGTCCAACATGATCCAAAATGGGTTAAGTAAAGACACCAACAGGTGAACCGTATATGCTGTTATTTGTATATATATATATTGCTACTTATTATAGTCACATTTATTCAATTATTAATCCATGGAAAGCTCCACACTGAGTCGAAACCAAATGGGTGTCAAGAGGCATTCGGCGGTGCTGAGTCAGTCAGGAAGGCCAACGAGACAGACCTTGGAAGAACCGGTTTCCACTCCCTAGTCTCAGCTTAGTTTCTCGGCAAGCAGGGGAAATTTGTTGTTTCAACTTATTTTTTCTGGAAGTGCAATCTATTTCAGGAGTGCAGGCATGAGTACAATAGTACAGTACATGATGCTACAATTGACAATACTGATTCAATACCGTGCTGCTGGACATGTGCGAGAGTCCCACAAAACCATTCAAAACCTACATATGCATTATCACTGAGGTCTCAAAACTCCATCAACAAGTCTGTCCAGGATATCAATAGAGCAACCCACCGGACAGCGTAAGGCACACGTCTTTCTGCTGTATCCTTCCGGCGCGGTTTCTCAGATCCTTAATGAATTTCAGTCCAGGAACATGGGAACCAGGTTTGCAACTTTGCACAAAGGCCAGCGGCAGACTCCGTTGATCCAACTTTGCCTTTCAGGCGACCAACGCTCTGCCACTGAAGCTTTTCACCGAATGGCCGAAGGGGGGATCGGTGTCTCAGTCATAGGGCGAAATGCCGTGCACGTGGATGTCCATGATGGCACACATCGCACGAGCAAAGTAGATGAAAATAGAGACCAAGTAAATGAAGAAGCCCATCATGACCCATCTCCGCCTGACCCGAGGAGAAATGAGACGACTCGACCGCTAGACCGCGGTCAGACGAGGACCAACACAGACCGCTGGGCAACAAGCTGAACTTCTTGCGAGTGCCCCACTCACTGAAATGCTACAAGCAAACAAATCTCCTGATTCTAGCTCTTATATATACAGTAGGGTTCTGGGCAGGGTCCTCTTCACAGCCGGCAGGAGCAAAAGAGGTCCCAAGAGGATAAAACGGTTCTTTTTCTGAGACCTTGCAATACGACAGGGCAGTTCTCCTAGACCCAGCAAAGCATACGAGCCGGGGACAAGCATGGCCCAGCCATGTTCAGGACAGCACATGGTAGCTAAAATAAATACATAATCCTCATCCCCGAAAGTGTATACATGTAGAGCGGGAGATTCAAACGAAGAATTGAGCATACAAGTGTCTGCACGAGCTAGAAACCCTCCCTTCATCTTGTTTGTAGAGTCTACCTGCATGCTCCTAATCGCACACATCAAGTTGCTGACGCTTTGTTGACTGGGTCAAGGCCAAGGAACTGCTTCTGATATGCCTCTGGCTTGAACACATCCTTCTCCTCAATCACATATCCTCCAGTCAGGGTTCTTGCATAGAAGGCGGCAGCCCACAGCAACCTCACTGAACGAAGCTGCTGACAACTTGGAACTGGATGGTGCTTTCTGCTTGTTGCCATCCTAAAGAGCTCACTCAAAGTTGTCCTTACCACATTTGCCACCAAATACTGATGAAGTTGGCCACTGACTTAACTGACAAGGCCCTTTCTTGCAATACTCCTTCATTCAGCACCCCGTTTCCAACCAATGGGACTCTTGTCGGAGATATAATATACTATACAACTTCCTAAAGCACACGCTGATCCTCTCATCTGCCCAGCAACTGGATTGGGGCCAGCCACCAGTTGGCCAAGAACGGGAGCACCGAGAGCACGTTCAAGGCCAGGAAAGCCATTTCTACCCTGCGAAGATCAGGGCAGTTGGTTGCCAGGGTGCTCAAAACATGTGGAAGCTCTAGGAGCAAGGACGCTACTAGGAGCTCCTGGCCATACTACTAGGAGCAAGAAGCTACTAGGGGCTCCTGCCAAGGTGAAATTTCAAAACCATTCAGAAACCATGGCTATTGACCTGCAAGAAGTGGCGAAGCCTTGCAAGGGCGTTGCACGTCTAGGTTCCAACCCGCCAGCATGTTTAAACACTTCGTTCCAGTCTTAGCAGGTCCCCGCTTTATATAAGCTCGGGTTCAAAGTGGTGGCCTGTTCACAGGCAGAATCCATTTTAAACACGGCAGTTCTTAATTTCCACTGAAGAACCACACAGTAACTCACTAGTCACTAGAGCTTGAATGGTGAACTTGTCTTGTTTACTTATATAGATTCATTCATTTCATTTCTATTACAGCAAAAGAATCGGAGTTAGAACTGGACAACTCCCCAGAAAAGAAACAGAACAAATTCCGTATGCCAGTGATCTAATGACGTGCAGAAGTGGTTTGGAGCATCGTTTTGTGTTTTTTTGTAGTCTTTGTATGTCTTTGTCACCGACTGCTTGGAAATATCAAAATGACCCGATCAAACACTGACCAACTGGAACTCAATCATGACACCCATCTCCCACATCTGACACCCGCCCCGCCACTCTAGCACACCGTACTGGGGGTCCGTCCCAAACGAGCTTCGTGTTCTTTCTCCGCCATGGTCTGAACGATCACCGAGAACGCCGACGCCTCGCCCTCGCCTGTGTGATTGATTGTAGCGGCTGAAGAAATCCACCGAATTGATCAAGTCCTGGGCGCGACACCCGGCGAGACCCGGCGACGGGGTGACCCGGCGACGAGGTGACGCAGCTTCCGACCGATGACTGAGTGGCTGATTTATGTGTTCATGCCTGTAGGGGGTCTAGACCCTGACCCCTACAGAGGATGACCCATGGCTTTAAAACATGGGATGTTGTCCTATCAAAAGTCTGGTCACTCTGTCGAAAGTACATGCAACGTTGCTGTGTGACTGTCTACTATGCATTAGCGAGTGGGTACAGAAGAAACTATCTGAGACCGCGAGAGGATGCTACCTATCATTCACAGGCTGCTCAGCAGCATGAACCTCCACCGCATACGTATTAGAAACTGAAACGAGGTCCCAAAATGGAAATCACTAGCGCAAAATTAAATTGCAACCGCGGAGATTGTGTTTACATGTGTTTACTTGGTACAATCATGTGTTTCCCATGATCAACCAATTTGTGTTTTATAGCTGTGCGCGCACACACAAGCTTTTGGTTCGTCATTGATCTTGATGATCTGATGCCTATTCCAGCCTGTCTTAGGCTTGGTGTGTCACTGCTTTCTTTTCAACTGCTCCAGCAGCATGCCACAGGGCTTGCCAACCTTCTTCCTGAACTCCTGCATGTACAGCTTCTTCTGCTGCTCCAATAGGTCAATCTTCTTGTTAGCTGCATTAATCTGCAGCTTCAAATCCTGAATGAGCTCATCTCGTTGTTGACATTCACCCTGCAGCTTCTGCCAAACATCATTCTGCACCTCATGCCTCTCCTGGACCTCCTTGATGGCATCCTTTTGCCGTTGGTAGCTCTCGAGAATGTCGCGTCGAGCGTCCACGGTCCTCTGGTACAAGGTCTCTTTCTTCTGCAGCTCTTTCTCCTTCAAGGTGTTGCAGAAACACACAGGCCCAGGAAATTGCTTGAAAGATGTTGAAAGTCTCCGTTGTTTATCATGTGTATCGTTATTTTTTGCAGGCCCAGTCTAACTCTTTCCACAAATGCCCAAGGCCCAAGACTTCCTTTGGTAGTATAAAACCTTCAAGCTGAGAATAACACCAAGAACATCCAAGAACATCCAAGAGCCATGAACAACCTCGAAAGCAAACCTGTTTCTCCTTGTACATGGTCTTGGTGTTCTTTTCTCGGAGCTCGTTCTGGACCTTCGAAAGCTCCGAAAAGACCGCGTCCCGTGCGTTCACGGCGCTCTCGTACTCCACCACCTGTTGTCGGAACATGGCCGAGAGCATGGCGGCATCAGCGGTGAGGCTGTCAACCTCAGGGTGCTGGGCTCAAAGGCTTGCGGACTCCGCAGTTCTCAGAGAGGGTATTGAAATTATTGAAATCATTTCAATGACAAACGCAGGGTCCTACTAGGGCATGAGAGGGATCCTGGAAGATTCGCCTTTTTGTTCACGGGATGAGGTTCCATTCCCAATCAAGCCCCGCAAGCTGGTATGATGTGAAATTCTGAGGGGAAAAGGGGTTCGGATTTTCACACAAAATGTGCCGACAGCAGCCTCCTTGCGCGTCTCCCGGAGAAGTACTTTGATCTTCTCAAGCCGAGGCAGGTTTTCATTGGTCACCTTCTGATTTCTCTCCTTGAGATCCTGCAATTCTTTCTGCACGTTGTTCTGCTCAGCCTTCAGGTTGTTAAGCTCGCTCTCCAGCTTGTGCTTCTGGTGCAGCAGCTGCCCCTGCGTCAGCTCCTTCTCGCCAATCTTGGCATTCAGCTGCTCCAAGCGTTGGTCCCAAGGAGTGTGCCGTTGCGCCTTGCTGGTCTGCAGCTCATGATCCAGCTTCGAGAACCGGTCGAAGAGCACGGTGATCTCTTTTCGGATGTCTTCGCTCTGGACATGTTCGTTGGGCTGCCACTTGATGCTGGCGCCGAATTTCATCCGCCTCAGCTGCTTCTCCATGGAATGGAGTTCGGTGAACAAGGTTCTGAAGCTGCCGGGGATGCAACTGGGCTCGGAGACGACATCATTGCCCATTCCATGTTGGCTCTTCTCATAGGTGTATGGACCACAATCTATCACCTTTGGAAGGCTTGGCAGGACATAGAGCTCTGGAAGTTTGTCCATCTTCATTTTCATCCCCCTCACCTGCTCCTGCATCCGTGCTAATCCTTCCGGCGGCGGCTCGCGCCGAAGTTCGAGGTGCAAGACCGCCTGCGAGTACAGAATCGCATCAGTCAGCGCCATGAGCAGTGAATCACGGCAGTTCAGCATCGACACAATGGCTGCCACAGATGGCAAGCTCTCCTTCATGGCCGCGGCGGCGAACTCGTGCAGTTGCCTCTCAGCGTCCAGGGCCACCGTTTCCCAATCCCCCTCAGGGGGTCCGGAGAACTCTTCCAGCGCATGGACGAAGAAACGGATGTCCAACCTCAGGCGGTTGATGATTGCACGGTACTTCTCCAGCAGCTCGTCGGCGCGATTCTCCTGCGCGGACGAGCTCAGTCCAGCATCGGCCATGCGTAACATGGCGGCGCATGTGGCCCCCAGAAGGCTCTGACCAGAGACTTAGTTTCAAGCCTCGGGTTTTGGAAGTCCTGAATGGAAAGGATATGGGCGAGCATGGGCGAGCACAATTTGCTGTTGAGACACCGAACGACACAAGCCTTCAACAACTCTGACCACAAGTCACAAGTCAAATTGCTTTTCCACTCCCTCGCAAATGGCACTGATGTAGCCAAAGCATCTCCTACCAGCAAACGACATGATTGACCTCATCAACCCCCCATCCGCCCCAGGAATTTCCTCCCCATCCCTTAGATCACCAACCACACCAACTCCCCCGTCTCGCCGAAGGCACATACTCCAAGTCAGCGATGGCCTTCAAAGAGAAGACCGACGTGCCCAACAGGCCGGTCATGGCGCCCAGCAAGGTCAACGAATCGATCGTGGCGAAGATCGTGAAGAAGACCATCGCGTTTTGACAAGTTGCGTCTTTTGCGTATCGAGAGCCCTTCTCCTGCGGATCGCTTGGAGCAATGGGAAGTGGTGGGAAGGTGAAACCGGGCAGCGCGCCTTCTCTTTGGCCGCTGGGTTGCTGGGTTGCTGAGTGTGGGACCTCCAAGCTACAGGTGGGAGTCAGGAGTAAAAGAATATAAAAGACATTAATGACTATACTGTACTGATCTGTACTGTATATTGGATAGTATTATACAGACTCTTTCTCCCTTTTGTGGGGGGAGAAGGTGCTCTTCGTTGCGATGACATTGCAAGCAGGAAAGATATGCACGGGACATCAACGGGCCATGTGCCGTCTGGCTTCGATGTCCCAATAGTGATGCACTTGTTCCTACTAGCTTATTGTTTCTAATAGCAAACATTGTTACTACTAGTAAGGCACTTGCTACTAGAAGCGATGCACTTGTTACTAGTAGCTTCCTGCTTGGTCTTTCAGAGGGGTGGAACCACACACCCAATTGGCTTGTTAGGGATCATACCCGATTCAACCTATTGCCATCAACCGAGATCGGATTCTAACAGTCTAACTCGGCCAGTGACACTTGGATCACACTGATCACACCGTCTTCCGTCCGCTCCTCTCCTGGTCAGTCGAGTTTCCTCAATCCCCTGGGCCTGGACACTCCCAGTTTGAGCACTCAACAGGGCTGGGCCGGTCGCGCGATCTGAAGCCGGACGGTCCGAAGGGATCTGCTACGGATCGGAGGAGGCTCGGCCCGTGACACCCGTGACACCCGCGATCAAACAAAACAAAGGGACGATGAAGGATGAAAGAAATGCGTTGTTTCCAGGGCTGTTCCATTCCAAAGCCTTCGGAGGCCTTCGGATTCCGGTCAGGATCGAATCGGGGATCTGTGGGGATCAACCGCTGGAGCCCCCTAAAGTTCCCAGCAGAATCGATGCCCCCTATCGATTCTGGCCGCTCCATGTCCAAAGGCATCCATTTGGCCTTGGCGCCCCCACAAGGGCAAACTGCAAACGGCGTTCTTCTGCCTCGATTGGCCGGTTTTGGGACCAAAAAGTCAGGTTGATGCGTCCCATTCATGGCAAGTGAACGCTGTGATCTGGCACGATCTGATGATTGACTGAACCATTTGCTGCTACTGCTATTAAAGCTTCTGCCGTTTGATAGTACATAAAGCAACTCCTCATGAGCTTCATGATCTAAGCGCGCCAACAAGAGTGCCATATAGTGGGTTTGGGAGGGCAAGGATGGGCAAAAACATGCAAAAAACAACAACTCTCTCCCCTCCACAACCATCTCCGCCTCGCCGACACTGCTTTCTTGCCAGGCTCCATCTCCATGACCGAATTGCCTGGGAAGAAAAGAGAAACACAGTGATTGAATCAGCTGATATACCATAGGAACCCGGGCATCGCTACTAGGAGCAAGGACGCTACTAGGGGCTCCTGGCCGTACTACTAGGAGCTAGTAGCATTCTTTCTGTTGGCATCATTACACCAATACCTGGCGATACACCATGAACCTGATGGGCCAATGGGGGAGCCCTTTGAGTAATTACACTCGGGCGACACCCAGTGGCAAAGGTAGAAGCACGTCAAAAAAAACAAATCAAATGTGTGCTTGCCAAGGTATGCAAGCACCTCTCAATCTCTCTCCGTCCCTAGCTCTGGTTCATCTGGGCTTTGAAAAGGGCCCCCGTGCACAACTCCAGCGAAAGTTTCCGCAGCGACTCATCCTCCTCCTCGCCGCAAAAACAGGTCTTTTGGGTTCTGGCACGTTCTAAAGGTGTGAGGATCTGAAAGTCTTGGGACGAGTGAAGATGAGGATGGTTGGGAGCAAGTTTTCTCTATCTAAGTCTCTCTCTCATATGAGTCAAACTGGGTGCTGAAAAGGTCGTGGCCACGCCCAAAAGGCACAGTCCAAACAAGTACACTGGTAGATTAATTTGATCTGAATGGGTTCTTGGAAGCTCCAACAGGCCAACTCCCGTCCCATGGGCCAGAACCACTTGTAACAAGCCTATCTCAGACTGGGTCAGAGCGAAACATAGCGAAACATTCGGAACCTCAGAGCATTCTAGAGAGGTGATGATCCAAAAGGGCTCTGTCTGTATATATTACATATAGAGGCAGGAAGCGCCACGCTCAAGGATCACAGATCCGTAAGCAGAGCGTTCTGAACGACGGCAGGTTCTGCAGCGAACTAGCGGACTCCGAGGCCAAACTGCACAGACTGGATATGAAAGGGCTGATATGACAAAGGCCACGCGCGTGTTAAATCCTCATGTTCAAAGACTCTCCCGCAACTGACTATGGGGCGAACACAAACAAACCTCCCTTGCCCTTGGCTTTCTCTGTCCCCATCCGCTGCGCATCGCCCCGAACGCCAACGCCATCCCCATCGAACGTCCTCCAAGCCCACCAAACATTGGCAAACTGCGGCGGTCGCCGCGTCGGTCGTTTTCAACGACGTCGGTCGACGTCGGCGTCGCCACCCCTCATGAGACGAAGAGCTTCACACCTGAGGTCTTACATCCTTAACATGTTATAACTCCACAAGAGAAAGCTTGAGTGAAGCCCTCGCTGTTGCAGAAGATCTGCCACCACGACTGCAAGCACGGAATAGAATGCGGATAGATTCCTACAGTCCTACAAAATCTAGTCTCGGCTCCTGAATCAAGCAGCGCCTTCCTGGGCTCCATGTCTGAGGCTCAAATGCAAACCAAATGCCTTCAACTTGCCATCCAACTTGCTACTGAACCTCCCGGATCTCTACACCATCCACCAGCCGTCTCGCCAGCACCGTGCCACAATGGCCCCTCCCACCTGACTTCTTCTTGCCTTTGGCCTCAGCGAAGAGGCCGGCACCCAGCGAAATCGAGGAGTGTCTCCAAAGCACGCACTTCTTGAGATGCCGGGCCGAGGAAGGGCTTGTTGACATCACGTGCTCCCACCTTGGTGGTGCCGAACATGGAGTTTGCAAATCCTCCCCAGAGTACACTGGAAACGTGCGAGGACTGATCGAGGGTCATCAAAATAAATGCTGACTATTGTCTGTCTTTTGCAATGCCTTTGAGATTGTGCATGTATATAGCTAAGTACTAAGTGTGTACCGAAACCATATAATCAAAGGCACAAAATATATAAACTGTAAACGATTCACGTCAATGCGCACACAAAAAAACGTCAGCTTTATTCAGGTGCATGCTGGGTGTCATGAAGGTGTTTAAAAATGGAAGGCTGACTAAATGATACCAAATGTGTGTTGGGTGTCTCATGCAGGTGCACAAAAAATGGAAGGACGACTAAATACAAACATTATAGTTGTTATATAAATGGTTGACTAAATGAAAACCATCATGGTCATGGTTTACTAAATGAAAATTAAACGTACCGTAAAACCAAAACATGAATTTCAGTACCAGCAGTGTGGTTTGTTTGGCATGACTAAAGTTGCCATCCCTACGTTCTCTTTTGGCCAGTTCCCGTACAATCCAAGAGCACAAGACTTGTTGCCTTATTTTCACGGTGGCGCTTCAGCCTGATCCAGGAGACCGATTGAGGAGAGCATCTGCTATTTTTGGGGTGCGGAAGTTCATCACGACTTAGTCGCGGTGAGGCCAAAGCTACTTTCTCTACAAACAGCGGCAGAAAGCACTCGTTTTGATGCGAAAATCGCAGCAGCATGGACAGTGCCGCCCCGAAGTTCCGAGGGCCGCCGCTGCCCGGCGCCGGCGTCGGCCCTTTCCGAACTCAGCGATCCAGCAGACGGGCCAAGGCATCGAAGGTCTGCGCTTTACACCTCGAGACATGAGAGAAAATCGTCTGTGCAAAGAACATGCAACATTGTATAATTTATAGCGCTAAATGTTTAAGGATCCTCAATCCTGCACCGACAGCAGGTGCAGTTGCTACGAAGGATGCATCTATGTAGGGGCCTTTTGCTGGTACAGGATTCTGGTGTAGGAGCCGTTTGTAGGAAGATTCTCTTGCAAGGGTCCATGCCACCAACTCTCATGTGCACAGTCTCAAGATCATGAGGAAAAAAAGAGACACCACGCGGTGTCTCGAAAGGCTGCAAAAGCGTGGGGATCCCTTTCAGCCGAAGTTCTGAGGATTCAACATGTGCGGCATACAATGTGATCCAGCCCCTTCCACCGCCGAGACTTCGGCACCAGCTTCCCTCAACTTCTTGGCCAGCGCGACTCCCTCATCTCGCAGAGCATCGAAACTCGCAGTGCAGACGAAGACTTTGGCACCACGCAGGATCGAAAGGTCTTGTTCCAGGAGGTTCGCCGCTTTCACCAAATCCTCTCCTGTGAAGCAAAGGCGGAGAAATGCCAAGAATGGGTGTTCGATGGGTTGCAGAATGGAAGCACTGGGAAGTGCTGCGCTCATGACCTTCGGGGTGCTGCCACTGCCATGGTTCACTCGAAAAAACCTGGAGGTGTGGGTCACATGTTGGTTGAATTTGAGATCCAAGAATCTCAGCTTTCCGTCTCCATCGCTCAATAGCCAGCCCCAGGACCTGAAAGGGTGGACTTGAGGCCAGGGTGGACCAGATCACAGCCACAAAGAAAACATCATGTCTTGAACTAGCGGGATTCATCCCGCACCGGAGTCTGCATGCCCTCACATGCCCAGAATTGGCGAAACTTGGGCATTATCATTTAACACAAATCACAAAAGGCTTAAAGAAAGCTCCTGTCCATGAGGCCGACCCATGAGATGGGCTGCAGTGGTCAGTCCATTGAAGAAATGAGGGAATGTCTGATATCTGCTTGTTGCTACCCTCCAGCAAGTGAAAAACTATCACATGAGTCAAATTGCGGCAACAATAATGTGGGCCAAATCAAATCAAAACCAAGGCACACTCTCAAGAAGCTGCTGGGGCAACTAGGCAAGGACCCATACAGTTCATGTGACTCCTTAGTTTGAAGTCACGGAGACAACCAGAACACCTGTTCCCAAGTGGTGGCTTGCTGGAACTTTCCGCTTCTCACCCCTGCAGCAAGTCAAAAAGACACTGTTTCAGGAAGAAATTGCTCCTGAAGCGGTTCCTCTTAGCATATCATACAATAAAGACACCTGGAAGCACCAAACTACGACCCGAAGGCCCAAAGGCCATTTCCAGAATCTATGCGACAATGCCAGTCTGCAGCAACCTTCACTGCCACGCATCGCTGTTGGCGTTGGGATCGACCATGGGATACAGCAACGCCACTGCTGGCAAAGCCGCTGGTCGCGTTGGTGCCAGGCGCAGTAACAAGTGGGCAGCTACAAAGGCGCCAGCGCTCACACCGCCCAGGATGATGTTTGAGGTACCTGATAACACAATGGCACGAGATGCGGCGGGTAGTTTTCCTAAAAGCCAACATTGCCATTCACAATTCACAACATGTGCTTTAAAAAGTGTGATATATATAATTGTTGTATATGCTTGTTTTGCTGTGAGTTGCACCCATGTTTCTGAGAGGATTTCGATAGTTGATACCTCTTTAGAATATTTTAGAATGGCGGTCGAAGATGATTGTGCGCTCTCAGGTCAGGGCAATGGTGTGTTCGTGCCAATTGCTAGCACAGTGGTGGTTGTACCTGTCTCAAACGGTTTGTTGTTGGTTGAAAGGTGGATGGAGGGCTCAAGAAGGTTGGTCATGAAAAAGCAGTTGCAGGCATTTTGGCTGCGACAAGGAAACCGCCCCGAATCTCCGAAGGTTTTTGCATCCAAATACGAATCTTGCTTGTGTAAGGCTTGGCTGGCTGTAATTAATTAAGAACTTTATGTTGAGGAACGCACTTGCCTGGGTGTCAATTCTCTGACAAAAAACAATGGACCTGTGCCTCTGAAGCAAACAGCTGAGTGACTGTAGCCTAGCTCTTTGGCCAACGTCTCGTCTGATAACGACCGGAAGGCCGTCTCGAAGTCATCCACCGCATCGGGGAATTTGTGCTCCTTGGGCTGCAGGTCCGTGTGGTTTGTGCCAACATGTAGGTGGGTGGGTGGGTGGGTGGGTGAGTGGGTGGGTGGGTGGGTGTGGGTGTGTGTGCCCTGCTAGTGACGTGCAGGCGTTATTCCATCTCTTGATGACTTGAAGCGATGGGTCCGCATATTCCACTCCATTGGTACAAGTCCCCGGCCACTTTCGAAGCAGGGGACCCTCGGGGCCAACGGAAAACCGTTCGCGCCGCCTGCGTAGCGACCGCGGCAGCGCGACCGGAGCCATCCCTCCAACGCGACGTACGAGTTGATACGTCGGCCGTGCACAGATCGCTGCGGGAGAGGATGCCCTGCCGCCCTGGCCGTGCACATGTTCTTACCCAAGTTTTCATTGACGGTGTTGGTAACATGACAGCTGCACACGCGCGTTGCAACCTGTATGCCCTGTAGGCCCTGTAGGCCATGGACTTAGGAGGTTGGCAACTATTTTTTTCTAATCTTAGATCAGGTCCTCTTGACACATTAACTCTCCAGCCATTTGGCTCAAGAAGCACAATCTCGCACGTTGTACCGTTGTGCCCTTGGCTGGCTTTACATTCAAAGGGGTCTTGGCCAGTTAGATCAGTTGGTGTCCATTCTTCTCCGCCCGCGAAGACCCTGGACTCAGTGGCGAACTCTAGGCAACCGTTCGTGCAACTTCGACATAACATGGCACCCGCCCTTTCGTCACACCATGTCATACATGCATCCACATTCCATATACAAATGCCATACCCCTCCGAGAAACTCCGTATTGAGACCATGACCCATCTTGTGTGGCGCATAGCCCACGAAGCCGAACATCTTATTTCAAAGTTTGCGCATTCTCATGCCAGCTACTAGGAACAAGTGCATCGCTACTAGTAACAAGTGCCTTACTAGTAGTAACAATGTTTGCTATTTAACTAGACGACGAGTGGCCCGAAAGCATTTTTCATCACGTAGGAAGTCAGAGTGCGAGTTATCTGTTAAGTGTGCAGTGTGAAGTGTTAAGTCGAGTGAGTTGAGGTAGTGTGTGGGTTTCTGTGCGTGTATCTATGTCCGTGTGTATATGAGTCTGCGTATGTGTGTGTTCGTGTAAGTTGAGGCAGTGTGTGGGTGTCTGTGTGTGATGCGGCCTCCCAAACCCCCCACCGGCGGCCAAGCGGTGACAGCCCAGCTCATCGTCGTGAGCATTTGAGCTGCTGGTAAGGGGAGAAGCAGCGTGCACGGCTGTAGGGAATCTCACTGAAAAAACCCAGCTGGAATGAACACAGAAAATGCTGAGGCAGCCACGCCAGAAGTGTCTCGAAGCAGTGACCTGTCAGAGGAGATGAACGAAGGAGCGCGCAGGCCTCCCAGCTTCCAGCTCCCCAGCTACTCCGCGTACTACAGTTGTACTACAAAGTCGCCAGTGCTCATCTTCCAGCTCCCCAGACACTCCGCGTACTCAAGTTGTACTACCCACTCGCCAGTTCTCATCTTCCCACTCCCCAGCTACTCCGCGTACTACAGTTGTACTACAAAGTCGCCAGTGCTCATCTTCCAGCTCCACAGATACTCCGCGTACTCAAGTTGTACTACCCACTCACCAGTTCTCATCTTCCCGCTCCCCAGCTACTCTGCGTACTAAAGTTGTACTACCAAGTCACCAGTTCTCATCTTCCAGCTCCCCAGCAACTCCGCGTACTACAGTTTTACTACAAAGTCGCCAGTTCTCAGCTTCCAGCTCCACAGATTGCTCCGCATAATTACTAAAGTTATACTAGAAACTCGCCAGTTCTCAGCTTCCAGCTCCACAGCTAGTCCGCGTACTAAGGTTGTACTACACAGTCGCCAGTTCTCAGCTTCCAGCTCCACAGATTGCTCCGCGTACTACAGTTGCACTACAAAGTCGCCAGTTCTCAGCTTCCAGCTCCCCAGCTACTCCGCGTACTACAGTTGTACTATGTACTACAAAGTCGCCAGTGCTCATCTTCCAGCTCCCCAGACACTCCGCGTACTCAAGTTGTACTACCCACTCGCCAGTTCTCATCTTCCCACTCCCCAGCTAGTTCCGAGAGCCCAGCTACTCCGCGTACTGAAGTTGTGCCACAAGTCACCAGTTCTCAGCTTCCAGCTCCACAGCTTGCTCCGCTGCTAGACCGATCGCACTCTGGCCTGCATTTCGCGCACTCGACACGCACGATCTCCGCAGAGGGTCGCATGCTCATTTCACAAATCGCGCTCTCGCCTGCATTTCGCGCACTCGACACGCACGATCTCCGCAGAGG